CAAAGTTCCGTTAACGAAATAGAGTTTTTTGAAAATTAACGGAAAAGTCTGTTTACGAACAGAAAAACCGTTAATTTTTAAATCGTAAACTCGCAAATATAGCCGTTTTTGTAAAAAAAAACAAGTTGTGGTTTTAAAAAACCCGGCTGGCACCGTTAACAATTTCTAAAATAAATGCCGTTAACGCCGTTAATAACAAAATGAAAATTCCGTGTTCAGCATAAAACCGAATTGCTACCTGAAAACAAATTTAACGGTTTTAACTAAACGTAACGAACGGCCAGGAAAAGTCAGAACGTGCCCAGCCCTATACCACGGTAGGTAAACCACAAAACATAAACCTTAATACAAAAAAATGAAAATTAAAAATTTTACCAAATCAAATTTTCTTTTTTCAATCTTCACTTTATGTACAATTAAAAAACAATGAATAATCTGTATAATGAAACCAACAATATAAAATTTTAAATTTAAAAACTTTAATCTAAAAATTAAATTTTTCAGTCTAGATTTCCATCTGTCTATCTTTATTTACACGTGAGTAAAGTGTTCAATGATAAGTTATCAGGCGCGTACACAGGATTTTAGCCAGGGGGGGGGGGGCAAGATTTCTTGCGTAGCGCGAAAAATTTTTTTTGCCCCCCCTCCTGGAATTGTTTTGCTCTAAAAGTCAATTAACACCATAAAAATACATCAAAAAGACTTCATTTTTGGGTGTTACTACCCTTATAGAGTCTAAAAATTATTCCTTTGCTCGAAAACTAACTTTAACTTTTTAACTTTATAAATTTTTAAAGGAATTGAGTCTTTTCTAATCACATATATCTTTGGAATCAAATGTTGTAAACCTTAGATATTTCAAACTATGAGTTCTGTTAAATAAAATGGTCTGAGTTTGAAATATCAAATGTTTACAACATCGGGTTCTAAACATATTGGGGTTTAAATATTTGATTTTGTTCCAAAGACTCAATTCCTTCATCACTTAACTCCATCACAGCTAACTAAATCAATAATCACAGCATCATTAAAAAATTATATTTTCACTAATAAACGAAAGAAGGAAATTTCTTCTGAAGTTTTTAGATAGAATTTACTCCATCTACATATTCACCAACTCTTTTAAACTTCAATTTTCTGGGATTTGCTTGCACAAACATTTCAATGATTTTCTCAGTAGTGAGCCATAAGTGCAAGATCGTTAAGTCTGCTCTCCGTCATAGTACATCTTGTGTAATGAAGTATTCTCTTTAGAAGGCTAAAACTTCTCTTTCCTTCATTCAATTTTATTGTCATCATTGCATAAAGGGGAACTTGAAATTACGCTTAATATCTCTTTATGGAAATAAAGGAATTGAGTCTTTACCACAAACTCTGATTTTCTAATCACCATATCTTTGGAACCAAATGTTGTAGACCTTAGATATTTCAAACTATGAATTCTGTTAGATCAAATATTCTGAATTTGAAATATCAAAGGTATAATACAACATCAGGTTTCAAAGGTTTGAATATTTGAGTTTGTGCCAAAGACTCAATTCCTTTATTAATTGACTGTAAGAACTCCCAGGGGGGGCAAGAGGACTACCGCCCCCCCCCCTATGTTCGCCACTGTAGGTTATATAACTCAATTTGAAGTTATTACCCTCGGTTCCAATAATGTCTAATTCTAAATACCTTCTCATCTTCTCATCTCAAACATCCTCCATACATTTAGCACGTAACAGTCTTCTTACTTAGAACAATCTACTTACAAATAATTTCATGTCCTCCCTTATCCTCCCCACCCACCCCCCTTTACCCCAGGTAGAAGGA